GTTGTCCTGTACCTTGCCCTGTAGGCCAGGCTGGCCTCAAGCTAAGAGAGATCTGCCTGTCTCTGCCTCCTGAATGATGGAATTAAAGTGCACCACCGCCACTAACGGCATAGGTTTAGCATTTTCTTTGACCAATGAATAAATTTCTTCCATTGTATTCGTCAATGCCTGAGATTCTCCCTTGCATCTCTTGTAATCTGTTGGTGATGCTTGTGTCTGTAGTTCCTGTTCACTTTCCCAATTTGAGTTTTCTTTGTTGCTTCTATTTCGATTTTCAAGTCTTGAACAGTTTCTTTCACCTGTTTGTTTTTTTCTTGGCTTTCTTGGCATTCCTTAACAGATTTATTGATTTCCTCCAATTTTTTTGTTTGTCTTTTCCTCAATTTCTTTTCTTTTCTTTCTTTTTTTTTTTTGTGGGGGAGGTGGTTTCGAGACAGGGTTTCTCTGTGGCTTTTGAGGCTGTCCTGGAACTCACTATGTAGACCAGGCTGGCCTCAAATTCACAGAGATCTACCTGCCTCTGCCTCTGTCTCTTTCTCTCGAGTGCTGAGTTAAAAGCATGCACCGCCACCACCCGGCTTTCCTCAATTTCATGGATGTAATGAGTTGGAGGCTAGCCTCTTAAGAGACTTTTATCAGTTCCTCTTTAAGGATCTCTATCACCTTCATAAAGTTGGTTTTAAGATCGTTTCGTTTTCTTGTGTTTTACCTGCGTTGGACTATTCAGGTCTTGCTGATATAGGATGACTGGGGTCTGGTAACGCCATGTTGCCCTGGATGTTGTTGATTGTGGTTTGTTTGTTTGTGGGGTGTTGTTTGTTTTGTTTTGGGTTTTTTGTGACAGGGTTTCTATGTATAGCCTTAACTGTCCTGGAACTCATTCTGTAGGCCAGACAGACCTCAAACTCAAAGATCTGCATGCTCCTGCCTCCCAAGTGCTGAGATTACAGACATGTGCCACCATCCCCTGGGTTTTGTTTTTTGTTTGTTTGTTTTGTTTTTGTTGTTGATTTCTGAGTTTGTCTTCTTTGGATTTGGATTTTATTCCTTGGTTTCTGTTTCTTCTTTGGTCTTCTGGTCTTTGTGACCTGGATTTCTGGAGGCTGGTGTGACCTCTGATCCAGTAGGAAGTCCCTGTCCAAGCTGAGGGCTAGACTTTAAGTGACTTGCCTGACCTTATGTGCTGCAGGGAAGGTCTTTGTTCTTCTGACTGGCATGCCCTGCACCTGAGCAGTGGAGGTCTGATGGCCGAGTTTACATATTGATAGCTAATTTTCCCAGCATCATTTATTTAAAAATCTATCATTCATTGTATATGACTTAGGTACGTTTGTTAAAGATCAGCTATGAACTTATTTCTAGGCTCCCTGGTCTGTTCCATTGGTTTCTTTTTTAATACTTTATTTAATATTCATACATACATATGATGTGTTTGGATCCATTCCCATCCCCTCATCTCCAATTCCTCCTCTATCCCTGTCCATACTTTCCCATCAATTTTTAATGTTTATTTGTTTTATGTATATGAGTGCTTTATAAACTTTATGCCAGAAGAGGGCATCAGATCCCACTATAGATGATTGTGAGCTACCATGTGGTTGCTGGGAATTGAACTCTGGGATCGCTGGAAGAGCAGTCAATGCTCTTAACTGCTGAACCATCTCTCCATCCCCTCCTACCAACTTGTTGTGTCCTCTTTCTCTCTCTCTCTCTCTCTCTCTCTCTCTCTCTCTCTCTCTCTCTCTCTCTCTCTCTCTCTCTCTCTCTCTCTGTGTGTGTTTGGTTTAGTACCCAATGAGCCTATTCAGTACTGTTTACATGTACTAGGTGTAGCTAGTCTACTGATCCATGGGTAAGCTCTCAGGGGCAACATCCCTGAAGAAACTGACTTTCCCTCCCCCAGTTGCCACTGGCTGTCAATAGATCCTTAGCTAGGGGCAGGAATTCATGAGCCCCTCCTCAGTCCATGCTGAGATTTTGGTTGGCTTGATTTTATGCCAAGTCTGTGTATGCAGTTCTAGCTGCTATAGTTCATGTAGGCAACTGTGGTGTCTTGTTGGGCAAATATCAATTCCCTCTGGTTTTTACAATCTTTCTGCCCCCTTCTGTGATGATTTCTGGGCCTTGGAGTGGGGCCTGTGATAAAGATGTCCCATTTAGAACACTCTAGTCTCTTATTCTCTGTACAATGACTGGCTATTGGTCTCTGTATTAATCACTATCTACTGAAAAATAAAAAGGGCCAAAAGATGCAGTTATCTATGGGTACGAAGAGAAGAACTTCGGGGGAAGTTTATTACTATTTCCATTTAACAGAAAAATAGCATCAGGTTATCCCCCTATGGCCTAGGACCTAGTCAGCTATGAGGTTTTGGGCCCAGTTAACAGTACCAGGCATGAATTCCACCTTATGGACTAGGCTTTAAATCCAATCAGAAAGGAGTTGGCTATTCCCATAACAGTCATGCCACTATTGCATCAGTACCTCACAGGGTTCATAGCTGGGTAAACTAATTATTTTCTTCCCTGGTAGTATATGTTACTTTAGTTTCTGTTTGTTTTTTCCCTTTGTTTGTTGTCAGTACCATACTGTTTTGACAACTATATCTTTGTAGTAGACTTTGAGATAGGATAGTATGCATATTAGTTAAATTTCTCTTACTGTGACAAAATACCATGACCAAAGCTTCTTATTGTAGTGGAATCTTGTTCCACCAACAGACTTGAGGTAATGGCTTTAGGGTGTGGCTTCAGAGTTTGGACGTGACCCCTTATAAGGAAGAGGAGTGGTTTGCTTGGGCTTTCTCTTGGGTTGTGGTCTGAGCATTGCAGACCCTGCACCTCCAGGGGCAGAAGATTGTTATGGTTATTTACCATCATTGTGTGAGTGTTCCCCCAAATAAACGCTATTCTTTATTCAGGCATCTGTGGGCTTCCTTAACCCACCTTCATCTTACAGAAGAAAGTTTTTCAGCTAAAGGATCCTGAGAGGAAAAGGCCTTTCATGATGGGGAATAGTAGCAGAAGGTGAGTGGCTTGGTCCTGAAGCAGGATGCTGAGATAATGCAAATGTTTAAGTAGGCAAGGACCTAAGTTCTCACAGTCAGTGGCATGCTTCCTCCAGCAAAGCCACACCCCGTACATCTTTCTAAATAATGTCACCAACTGGGATCAGGTGTTCAAATGCTCATGATTATGGGGGACATTTCTCATTTAAACTATTACAGTGTGTTGAGCTGGCTTTGATCATTTTGCTTAAGATTGCTTTGGCTAGGACTGGGATATGGCTCATTCGGTAGAATTGCATACACAGAGCCCTGGGTTTCATTTACATATACGAAGACAAAACACTAATACACATTAAAAATTAAATACATCTTAGTCATTTAAAAAAGAACTCTTTCAGTATTATTTGTTTAATCTTCATACAACTCTACAAAGCAGAACTTTCTTCTCATGTTTCTTTGTGAGGCAGGGTTTCAGGCTAGAAGCTGAGGATGACTTCGAATTCCTCACCCTGTCACCTTCACCAGTTTCATCCTGGGTACATGTGGGTCCCACCATACTGGGTCAAAGTAGTTCTTATGATCTCCATTTTGCAGGCAGGAAGTCTTTACTGTCAGTGCCACCCAATGAGTCTGGCTCCAACGTTGAAATATTAAATGACTATCCACCATACAGGTTGTCAAATCCCTCAGCAACCCTGGGAGGAATCTTGGTCACCCAACCCCGTTTTCAGACAAGGAAGACAAGCCTCAGAGAGAGGGACAAGGTTTCTCAGAGTCGGGCTGAAGCCACGTCCTGGCTGCCTCCCATGCTCCACACTGTGTAGACTGAACTACCCACCCCAGTGGCGTTATGTCTTCCCACCCTCCCTATCTTCTGGAAGTTTTTCTTCTTCCCTACTTCATATTGGTTTTGAAATCCATCTATCCCACTGCAGGTCCCAGAATAATGAAAAACCCTCCTCCTTGCAAAGCTCCATGGTCGTATCGAGAAGAGGGTGTCCTCTGAATTCCAGACACAGGAAGCCTGTCTGAAGCAAGTGTCTTCCTCCCACTCCCTCAGACAGACCCCAGTGGCCTCATCGTTCTCTGTCCCCCATGTCCTTGCTAACTATATGGCTCCTGTGCTGTGTATGGTCACCTCCTGCTTGAACCATTCTCAGTCTGACCCTTGATTTTGCTTTGTTTGTTTTCTTTAAGAGCCATTTAAAGAATTCGTCTTTCCTTTGCATCAGGCCTGAACTGGGAGCTTAAAATGCATCATTTCACACGTTCTAGAACTAGATACTGTAACAGAGGAGGAAACTGAAACGGAAGGGAAGTGGTTTTCCTAACATCACACAGGATGTGGAGGACCAGAAGCTGGGACCCGGAATCCTGGATTTTCTTCCCACAGTGTTATTCTTCCAACCTCATCACTGAGGGCAGAATTAACCCCAAGTGAGGTGGCACAACTTCCTCATGCTCAGAAGTCATCAGCAGGGTGGCTAGAGGTACAAGAGATATAGATGACCACAGGGCATAAATACTCTTCTTGGGGAGACTCAGGAAAGGCCATAGGGAAGCAGCCATGGAACCTGGGCTGGTAACCTAAATGCAGGAAGCAGTGGTGCCGTTTCAAACGGGATCATGGGAAGGGTGGAAGGCACACTGTTGGTCAGAGGGAATCAGATCCTGAGTAAGGCACACTGTTGCTCAGAGAGCCAGATCCTGAGTGGCCCGTCAAATGCCTGTGAGTATGGGACACCCAAACCAGCTCAGACAGATTCCTGCTCTCACACGTGGCTTAGTGACTCGGTGCCCCCAGGGGATATGTGAGAAAGGTCACGATTTCACCCTCTCGGGTGGTCTCCTGTATCGTTGTGTGGTAGAGGGACTCAGGGAGGAAGCAGAGCCTTCTACTTTACACACTGAACCCCAGCCTTCTGAGGAGAGTGTCCACAGCACAGGACTGCTAGACTGACAGCGGAGAAGGAACGAAGGCAAAACACAGAGTCCTGGTGTTGTCTGGTTTATTGACTGAGGGTTAGCACAGTCCCCGAGGAGGTTTAGCATAGCCCCCAGGTAGGACTTCCCAGGTAACTGTCTCTTCAGCCTACTTCCTGCCCTGGGCACAGTAGGTTGAGATGCTGGGGGTGGGACTTTGTCAGCTTCCCCCCATCCCTGCTTCTAGAAGGTAGAAGGTACTTCCATGCAGGCTGAGAAGACAAGCAATATCATCCTAACATCCAGTGCAGGCAGCGTAGGCACAGATCTCACATGTGTTTGGGTCCTGAGCAATGGCCTCTGGTCAAGAGAGGAGGAGCCTGGTGAGAGACAGCCACCCTTCCCTCATAACCCCTGGCTCTCTCCAACTAGAGTTTGCATATCTGTCACCACCACCAAGATTAATCCCAGCAGACCCATCTCCTTTGACCCGATGGGCTTTCTACCTCACATGGGGCCTATGAATTACTGAAGCCAGCCAATCAGTGCAGCTCCTGCACAGAGCAGAGATGGAATTATTGTGTTCAGAAAATGGGACACGAGGTTCCTTTTAACCCATGCTTCTGAATGAAGGCCTTTCTAGGAGGCATCAGCAGTTACCACTTAGGATTAACCAATCAGAGCACATCTCCTTCTCAAGCACCACCAATCAGAGAATACCCCAGTCATACTAGCCAAGAGGCTACTCACTCAGCCTCTGCAGGATCTCCTCAGCATTGGGTTTCTTGCAGAGGGGTCTCAGTGCTTCTGGAAATGCAGTGTAGCTGCACAGCCGAGGTACCAAAGGCACAGGAGGCCTGGGAGCAAACCTCTTGTGACTCACCAGCTCTGGAACCTCCTTGAGGTCCTTAAGCTGTTTCACTGACTCCAGAGGAAAGGAAAGGTCTCCATCCTGAAAGAGACAGCCAGAGCATGAGGCCAGGCTGCAGGCGGCCCCAGCCTGGGCTGCTTGCTTGGGGCAATCTATGGGTCAGCTTGAGATGAGACCTCTGTGCCCCTGGGCTTTCAAGAGGCCTGGAGCTCTGCACACTATCAGGGAAGCAGCTGAGGCCAGCCAGGGATGCAGTGGCTGACTTACAAACAAGCTAGCCCAGGCTGTCTTCTCTTGTCACCTCAACAAGCAATGAAAGAATCCTAGGATCCCCGCTTGCTGACAGCCCAGCTTGTGTCTGGTGTCACCAATAGGTATGCCCAACCATCTAGGTCTCCAAGAGGCACAGTCAACGCCTGGGACCAAGCCTGGTGCTCCAGGCAAGTGAAGATGGGGGAACCAGGGTTAGACCTGAGCCCAGCCATCTCCCTTCCCAGCCACCAGCTTCGCTGTTTTGGAACCTTTGTGAAGTTCACATTTCTATTCTGTGAAATGCTACCAGCAACCCCTCCCCTCCTTCCCAATGCTGGCAGGTTGCAGTGGGACATGGGAGCAGCCAGAGTTCAAGCATTCTGTCACGGTCTATCCCAGCTGTTATGTCTTGCTGTCTCTCTGTTATTTTTTTCTCCTCCATGTCTGAAGGGGAAAATTGCATGGCTAGTAGAAATTGGGGGTCCCAGAGGAAGCCCATCCCTCATTTCAGGATTCCAAGGACGGTTTCAGACCAAGTTGGGATGGGGCCATACCTGCACAGTGACCCCCTCTACCAAGACAGCCAAGGCGCCCAGGAGGCACAGCATAGACAGCAAACAGGCATTCATGGCAGCAGTGTGCAGGCAGAGAAGTGATGCGTGCTGAGTGTTAGGGGGTAAACAGTGGGACTTTTAAAGAGGCCATGGTTACTCAGTAACCCTGGGACCTTGTCAGCCTCATCTGCTGCCTGTTGAGCCCCATCAGATAAGACCAAGGGAGCCTGAGAGATAAGAGATCAACAAAGCCCCAGCCCCTCCCCAGGCACTACTTTGACCCACAGCTGGGCTGGGTCCTGCATTTACTCTGGGCCAGGCCCTGCAGATCCAGCCCTGCCCTTGAAGAAAGAGGCCCAGAAAGGTGACTATGACGACAATGACAACAGAGATAGGGCCATTTAACATGGGTGTGGGGATATGAAAGAGGCATCTCCCCCCAAGGACAGGAGGTCAAGTCAATGCAAAGGCCTGATGATGGGGTACTTTGGTCCACAGAGCCTGTGTTGGGAGCAAGAAGAGAGCTTGACCTAGAATTCTCATGGGATGCAAAGAGTAAGTGCACCCAGAGAGAGGAGAACCGGGAGGTTGGGAGCACAGGATCCAGATACCAGGCTTGGTCTCTGTGATTCAACTCTGCCATCAGGCATGCATTCAAATGCCACCACCTGTGGGTCACTGGCAGATGACTTTCCTATCAGGTTCCCTATGCAGATCAGTGTGAGCATCTCCCTGGCACACAGGAAGCCCTAGATAAAGGTGCTGTTACTTGAACAGCAGCAGCAGCAGCAGCTCCTGGTCCCCACTGTCTCCTCTCATGGCCGCTTGCCTAGCCCAGGTACAGCAGGTCCTCAGGTGGCATGACCCCCCCTCTGTCCTTCCCCACCCTGTTATCAGTGGCTGATAGGAATCTATGTGGATCTGGGCTCCTCCAACCTGACCCTGTTGGGATTGAGCATGCCAAACGCAGCATGGCTGGCTCACTGCAGGACTAGGGTGGGTGAGCCCCAGGGCCCCAGACAAAGATGTCCTGAGGCCTCCTTTTCTTCCTGCTGCTCCACAGCACTGGCTGCACACCCGGATAGCCAGGGCAAGGGACAGTATCCCTGCATGGGAGAGTCAGTGCTGAAGGGCCTGGAAGGAGAGGAGCCTGGGAAGAGACTAGAAAGTGCCTAACCCAGGGCGGCAGGGGCAGGAAACATTTGGTCCCGCCATGCTGTCCTAAGCCAGACTCCCACCCACTGTGGGGGCACGTGCAAATCCCTCCATGTACTGAGATGCGTCTTGTACATACATCCAAGTGTGTATGTGTACACTGAAGGAACATGTGTGTGCACAATGAGCTGTGTATGAGTATGTATGTTGATGCATTGAAGCATTCTGAAAGGTCTTTGTGCAAGTGTTTGTACTGGAGCGTGTGTGTGTGTTTATGCACTGAGTGTGCTGATATGTGTGCCTATGTACACCTGAGTATGACACTGAGGTGTGTGTGCACGCCTGATTATATGCGTATGTCCACTAAAGAGTACATGTGCCTACATTCAAGATGAATGTGTGTGCGCACTGAGGTGTCTTTGTGTGTACATGCTAGAAGTGTGCATGTCCTGAAGTGTGTCTGTTTATACGTGTATGTGAGGAGGTGGGCGTGTACTTCAGGGAACAGTGGTGTCTGTGTGCCAGAAGACAAGTACATGTTCAGTCCATGATGGCCTCTGCGGAGTGTTAGGTGCACATGAGACAGGCACATGCAGTTGCAGGGTACCAGGGAGCTGGGGACTGTTCCAAGGTGCACTGGGGCTGGGGGTGGCAGGAGCAAGCTGGGCTGATGAGGACTAGGCTGGGCTTTGGGGATAGTGAGTGCTAGGGTTGGGTTTGGAAGTGGATGCTGGGGTAGGACAGAGCTTGAGGTGGAGACTAAGGGGCATGGAGGCTACTGGGCCGGATTCCTTGCGGGGTTACAATTGAGTAGAGTTTGCAGGGAGGTTGGAGGTAGGGCAGGGCTGGGTTTATGATTTGGGTTCGGTCTGGGATGACGTGGGAGCATGTAAGACTGCTGGGATTTGATTTGGCTTTAGGGTGGACTGGGCTAGAGGAACCCTTTCTGACTCAAGGTGGCTCTTGTCTTCCCTAAGGTGTGGCTGTGCTTGGGGGAGGGGAAGGGGCACCCCTGCTGCCTCTTCTGCCCAGGAGTTGCCCATCTGCCTGTCAGGATGATGCAGTTCCACTGTGGGAAAGAGGAAGGAGCTAATAGGTCCTATCCCTTTGAGTCTGGCCCTACCCAACTCCACAGACTGTTCTGAGAAGTAGGAACCCCCTCTTCTTTCCATTTCTACTACTGCCCCTGGCCAACCTGGGGCCAGTTCAGTCCCGGCTCCTTTTCAGGGAACATATGACCTCATCAGCCTGCACTGAAGCTGCTACAAGTTGGACCTTAGTTGTACTCCTGGAACCTCAAGCTTGCACCCTGAATCTAGAGGCTTGTCCTCAGCACCCTGCACGCCTTGCTCCAACACTCCTTGACTCTTGTTTGGGTTTCCCATATTCCAAGGCCACCTCTCTGGCAAGCCAGCATAAGCCCATGGCCTTCCAAGTCATAGCACCCCCTGGACCTAGGCTGCATTACCATCTAGGGACAACTAGTTGCTGCCCCAAACCTCGGAGGGAAGCCAGACTGCCTGGCTGGCACTCAAGGTCATGATCTAGCCCCTGCTGGGTGCACCATTTAGCCAGGACCTCAAAGCACTACACAGGGGTGGGAGGGGGAGGTCAGAGCTCAAGCCTTAGAGCTAGGTTGCCCCTAGATTTGGTGCCAGCTTCATCTTTTAAAAGTTCCACTGCAGATTTCAGTGTTTTCTAGCAACTTTCAGGAGCCCCTGAACTCCGTAATTCCAGCTACTTCTACCCTCCGGAGGCCTTCCCATCACACTCAGCCAGCCTGCCAGGGGCCAACAGCATAAACTGTATGCCGGATGCTCAGACAAGGCCTGCAAGTCGGTGAACGCCACCATCTAGAGGGAATCAAGGAAGTCCAGGGCTTGCTTGTCCCAAGCATTGATAGCCATAGCAGTTAACAACTGTGGCTAACACTTCTTGAGACTGGCTGTGCCAAGCCCCAGGCAGAGTGCTACAGACTGACACCACTCCCAACACAACTGGCTCTTACCCCCACTGCTGAAGTTGGGGGGGGGTTCGGCTAGATGCTGGGGTACTCAGGCTTCCCAAGAAGACTGACACTGTTCCTTTTGGCCAGCAGATTTGGCTTGAAGGCTGTGCCTAGGTGACCTCATTGTGATTCCAGGTACCCATTAAGGTCAGGTCTATCTACTAGAGATGCAGTCCTACCAGGCAGGACTCCTGCCTGTGAACCCCCAGGCCTAAACCAAACAAGGCCGAGAAAGCCTGAATACACCAAGCCCCATCTGTGTGACCTTGAGATGGGTGTGATCTGCATTTTAATTCAACCTGCAAAGCTTGTAAATGTGCTTCAGAGGGTGTAGCGCTCTCTGGTTGCCATGGGAACCAATGGGAAGCCATAACTGCCTGCGAATTCCAATGGCTGTGAGCCTCCTAACAGCTCTGGCAACAAGTGGAAATGAGTAATAACTGTATAATCCCATTTTAAAGGGTGGGGGTGGCAAACTGAAGCTCAGTGAGATTGAGAAACCCTGACTTCCCAAGGCCATGCACATACAAGGCTGCTGGGTACAGCTGTATTGACTTTCTGCACTGCAGGAAGGCACAGGGCCAACAGCACACATGTAAACACAAGCTCAGGGCACCTTCAGCCCAGGGGAAGGCACAGTTTTTCAGATTTACTGCCAGGTGGATTTGGTGACAACTGTGATCATATAGCTATAAATTCCAGAACTGAATCCAATTTTCTCAAGTGCCAAAGGAAAACCTGATCTTCCCCTCCGCACGATGCGGGGCCTCCTGTATTGCTGCTGGCATCACCCACATCACACACACTCCCCCTTCAAGGGAAGGAAGAGAAGTGGCTTGCAGAGTCAGCGGTGCCCACTGAGAAAATGGATGATCAACGGTGCCCAGTGTCACCCAGGAAGTGGCAGCTGGTGGGGCTTGGAGGCCCTGGCCAGAGCCTAAGCCCAGTTTCCCCTCCTCCAGGTCCCAAGTTTGGGGGGCGATTTCTCTTAATGCTTCAGGGGGCAGCTGGGGAGTGGAGTGGGTGTGTCTGTTTGCCCAGCAGAGTCAGCCCCTGTGGCTAGCCCGGATGAGATGACACTCGTCCACCATCTGCTCCCATTCACACACAGCAGCTGCCTCCTCCTCCCCATCCTGGAGGTATCTCACTGAGACAACCTCCCATCCTGGAGGGCAGGAAGTGGAGACTCAGCTAGAGTGCCCAGCCTCAGGAGTGACACACACACACACACACACACACACACACACACACACACACACACACACACACACACACACACACCCCTCAGAGGAACCCAAGCTGAGACAGGACATGGACCGATTCCACGAGAGGAAAGCCTGGGGCTGTTTCCTGAGGCCAGGCTACATTCTGCCTGTTGGCGGAAGTGATACTTGAAGCGGATGTAGACCTGGGGGTCCATGGGAGGAGAGCTGGCCTGGACTGACGCACAGCAGGGCTCAAACAGCACCAGGCTTGGGCACTTGCCTGGTGACAGTAAAAAACCGTTTAAGACCTTGGCAGAGGCACTCTGTACAAAGACACTTTGTGAGCTGCAACTGATAAGCAAGCATACTGAAATGAGAATATTCCATCTCCGCAGGTATGGGTGAGGGGGGGTAGGGAGACAGCCGTTTTGGGCAACTTGGTCCGGGCAAAGGGAAGGGAGGAGGGAAGTTCCTCTGGATCTATGTGCAGTGTCCAGCTGCCATGTGTCTTCCACTCTGAGGTAAGGAATTCTGCTCCCATGTTAAAGAGGAAAGTGAGGCTCAGGGAGGTAGTGTCTTGCTCATCAAGAATCCTAGAACCTAACTCCAAAGCTCATTTTCTCCCCACTGCCTTAAGCACCAGTTGTGCTGGGACCTGAGGTCTGCAGTGATCTAGACTGCAGGCCAAATGACAAGGGATCCACTTCTGCTAGGATGAGAGTCTCGACAGGCGCAGGCACAAATCTAGCTCGAAACACTACCCGGGAGGGCGCAACAGGCATGTGATGAGTCTCTACAGGAGACTCGCAGGGCCCAACGCCAGCAGCACCTGGGTAAGAAGCTTGATCCCAGGTGAGCGTTGCCTAGGATACAGGACCTTAAGAGGAGAGAGATGCTCCTAAACAGAGTCTG